CAATTTCTTGGCAAAACGCTGTAACATTTGTTAAAGTTTCGGAATTGATTTGTTGTGCGTCTGCACCGAAAGTTTGGAGACATTTTTTCTCCCCAACTGATTTTGGTGAATTTTTATTGCCCTTACTTTTGACACATGCTGAAAAAAAAAGTACTGTAATCCTATTAAATTTGGAATTCTCCTGTATAACAATCATTTTTTAAACACAAAACACGCATTCATCAATATGCAATTCATAAATAACTGCAGTACTTATCAAATGCTATTCGCCAAGCAACTGTAACTTCTTATGTGTAAAATTAAAATTAAAATATTGCAGCCCTAATAATATCAAAGTTCTCTTGTATTATAGTCATTTTTTAACACAAAATGTACCTAAGTTTATTTAGACAAACTTAAATGAATTCAGTTATGTATTTAGACAAACTTAAATGAATTCAGTTATGTATTTAGACAAACATAAATGAATTCAGTTATGCATTTAAACAAACTTAAATGAATTCAGTTATGTATTTAGACAAACTTAAATGAATTCAGTTATGTATCAGGATATATTGGGAGATAACTTATTGCATCTAGCTCCTTTTATAACATATGGAGGCTAGATGTTCCAACATGGCAATAATGCAGTCCATACTACTTATTCAACTAAATCCTGGATGAAAGCGAATGAGGTTGAATCCCTTGATTGACCATTTCGTATCCCTGATCTGAATCCTGCATGAAAACCTTGTGGGACATGTTAGCAAGATACGTTTACAAATCTGACCAACAAATCGAGAGAAAGTCGGATTCGATTGCTGCAATAGAGATGTCTTTGAACAATATTGATACCAATATAGTTAAAAATCTATCTGGGTCCATGAATTCGAGATTAATAGATGCAATCGAAAACAAAGGATAGATAATATGTAGAAGGATATAAAGGATAGATAGATTTTGAAATAGCTGTTTTGTTTGAAACTGGCTTCATATAAAAATATGAGCGTCATATTTTCCGAAAATACCCATATTTGACAGAAATATTAATAGAACACCTTTAAAGAAGGTTTTATTGAGACCTTCTTCGTCTTCTCATTGGCACGACAGCCCAGGATGGGCCCTGGCCTTCTCAACAAGACTATGCCAAGACATTCTTCCCCTAGCCAAGGTTCTCCAGTTTATTATTTTAAAAACTTGTAGGTCCTTTTCAAGGCAGTCTAAAAATCTTAGGTTTGGCTGTCCTCTTTTTCTTGTACCTGGTGGCCTGGCACTGAAGACTTTTTTGGTTGTCCTGCTATCCTCCATTCTCACAATGTGGACTGCCCATTATTGCCTGTCTGGCTTCTGTGCTCTACTGGGAACCATGTCCTAACGATCAGTCCACTGCGGGACGATGAAGATGAGAGAGAAGGTGAGAGGAGTTGATTTCAGGGATTGGCTAATTAGCATCGATGACAATTATTTTTTAGCCTATAATTGAAGTCGCAGTGATTGGTTCTTGCTCTTTCAACTCTATACAAAAGAGTTGAAGTAATGATACTCGATAAGAACCACCGAGACTTCCGTAGCCAAGATTTGTTTCCCGTATGCCAAACATTCTGATGGGTAGAGTTAGCGAGTTCGAATCCCGTCATGACCTGGGGTTAATCTTTGTGCTTTCCGCTTCCAGTGGAGTGATCGTAAAGGCACGGTTCCAGTACAACACCGAAATCAAGCATCCCTGGCTGCGATCAGTAAGAGTGTGGGTGACCACTTTGAACAGCCTGTGTAGGGATCGAGGATGCGCGGTGTCGGTCCTCGCTAAACTGTTCTACCGTAAAGTGTTCGACTTCGCGCGCAGGTCGTCGGGCTACCAAAGTAGGGGAGCCATTCCCTCGGCAGAGGATCAAAATTGTGATGGCATGTCTTCGGATCATCCTCAGGGATGTCTCCCAGACCGTTACCAATAGCCCATTGTCAGCTCCAGTGCGTCGTAAATAAAGTACCTACCTACCATTTCCAGTTTGTGCTATTCGTTCTGTAACTTTTCAATAACCTCTGCTCTCTGAGTAAGACCGAGTACTATACCTAGTTTTGCCCTCACACCTCCATGTGAGTGCATGATGGGTTCAGGAGAGCGAAGAACAGCTGTGGAAGAAGATTATTACATCAAAGGCTACACCCATCAAAGAACAAAATCATTTTCATATCCAATCAAGGCTTTGAATCTAAAGGCCTGGTTTCTTAGGACAAGCGCCTTATCTGGGTGTCAGCGTTAAGTTGACGTTACCTTGACACCAACAAAATACTGGTTTGTTAGCTCAAGGCCTGGTTTCTTAGGAGAAGCGTCTTAACTGGGCGTCAGTGTTAAGTTGATATAATTTTGACGCCATGAAAATACCTTTTTGTTAGCTCAGCTTGAGCAGTCGGTCCGACACAGACATTATCTTGCATTGCGCATGCGTTAATAACGTAAACAAATATTCATTTTGAATTTGTATTGATTTTGTGATTGTCGACCAATGCTGTAAAGAGCAAATAATGACTTTGTCCAAGAAAAAACACACTATAGCTTAGCTAAATGAAGAAGAAGTGGAAAAAGAAGTCTTGGAGAATTAAAATCTTGGCTGATTTCAATGCTCTGTTGATGGCTGTTGTTCGCCATTGCTTCTGTTGTTAACGTCACGTTGTAATCCAACTGCAGTTGATTTGGACGGCAGTTGTCGTTCAAGCTGAGCGTTCGATGACGTATGCTGTCAAACTCATAAATTAACCAATCAGAGGTAAACGTTCGTTTCAAGCTGACGCTGACGTTTCCTAAGAAACCAGGCCTTAAGTGACCCGGTCTTCTACTTTCTGCGTTATATAAAAAACTTGAGTCAGATCCTTTAAAAATGCTCAAAATAAAATTTTTTTTTTTTGCAAAAATTACTAGAATTCATTAAAAATTTAAAATGACACTTATAAATGTCTCATTATCTTTTAACCACTAGACCGGCTTCTAAAAAGATTTATGGTTTCGTAATTTCTATTATAAAATAGTTATAGGGTGCACCTGATCCAGTTAGGATAATCTGGATCATTAGTTCCCTAATCGGTTCCGCGGAACCTTAGGGTTCCGTGAAGTTAGGATTTTTTTTAAACCAATCATGAGTTTTGAAGCCTTCAACTATGTTTTAAACAACAAATAATATAGCATTTGCATAATATTTCTGTTAATTTTTGAAAATTATTGAAGTAAAATGCCAACGAAAAAAATAATAAATAAATATACTTTAAATAAATATACTTTCTAATAACAATATATCGTTATAAGAAATAACGATACGAACTAAAAGGAACTAAGAAAAGAATAAGCATTTACAAATAACTAGGAGGCTCCGCCCCCTGCTCGCTAACGCTAGCCAACCCCCGAGGATTGCTACGCAATCCTATGTGGTTCACACCGTGAACCATGGCTCGCTGCGCTCGCTCGCCAATGAACACAATGTTCTAGCACAAAGACATAATATATTATCATCAAAGACATAGTATTTTATCATCAAAGACATAGTATTGTACTTATGTAGAAGAATTCTACCAATGTTCTTATTGGCTTTTAAAAAAGTATATTAGCTATTTAGATTGTACATGGTGAAAAAATCAAAACATTAGCTAAATAAGAAACATATTAGCAAAATAAATTATCAAATATTGCTTCACTAATATTCTGCATTTTAAAGCGTGAAAATTCAATGCATAAATAAACGCGAAATATAAAAAAATTCAATGCATTCAATACAAACACTTAAACGTTTTTTAGACGTTTAGGTAGCTCCCAGTAGAAAAATATCAATTCAACAGCAGCCTTTTAAAGCATTCTCACTTCAATTAATTAATTAATTCCTAATTGAGTTCAAATTAAATATTATCATGTTTTTAGTGCATGAATCTGAATTGAACAACCTGATAATGCTCACTCTGGTTATTGTTATCTGGTTGCTCACTACGTGCTCTTGCGCGCCGAATCCAATCAATTAAAAATGAAAACTGTTGCCAGCGAGAGAAAAGAAATATCACCGGTTTTATTGATACATGCATACATACATACGTACGTATTAGCGTTTTATATAATAAGATAGATTGCAACTGTATTTTATCATCAAACTTTTACAATTCAAAATAAAATAACCAAATTTAAGAAAAAAGAAATATTTTTCTCTGACAATTCTCTCCTTTTGTAATAAAATATATGCTCAAGAGATATATATAAAAAACCAGAATTCAGCTTATTTCATTTCAACTTAGGCACGCGACAAGAACTACTAAATTCGAAACCACTGTAGACCTGCAAATTCAGCTGCCTAATATAAAAACAAATCTTAAGCCTGTTCTTTTTAAGCAAGATAAAAGTCTTGATAAAAAAAAAGTATTATTTTACAGGAAATTTGGTAAAATATAAAGAAAAAAAAAAGAATTTCTTGATAAAATAATTATGAATTTTTTTTTTCTTTCTTGAAAGTTATTTTTATTTCATCGCTACCTAGTAATCCATCCTGTTATAAAATATTTTTGTACATTATTTTTAGATTATTTTTTTAAAAAAAATTTTGATTTAACATTTACACTGCTCAGCCAAAGAATATATCACATTATTTATTCTTCGGCTCAGCTAGCCATTCAGTCAAAGAAAATTTACAGGTGGGTTACATTTGATGCGGAAAATATTAGCTATCACAACGTCAGTATTTGGATATTTTAAAAAAATGTGTGAACTAATTACCTGTGATTTTGAGCAATTGGAATTTACAGTTTTTAAAAATATTTTTTTATTCTTTTTATAAAAAACCTTCCCAATCACGTAATGACATTGGTTTTTTAAAAAATATTTTAACTAATGCGATTTGATTTTAAAAATATAAAAAAGTTCATAAAAAGTAAATTTTTTTATGACGTGTTAAAGATGTTAATTTGTCGGAAAAAAAGAAATTGTTTGTCCGTTTTCCTGAAGAAAAAAAATATTTATATAGTTCTGTTGTTTTAAAATAATAAATCTAGAACAAGGGAACAAACATCTTTATTTAAAAACGAAACGTATAATACATTCTGAAGTGAACATTACATACAGGTAACATGTTTTAATCACCATATTTGTATAATAAGCCACACAGATAAAATAATTTACAGTACCATAAGGAAACATGGAGACAAATATATTTCAAAAAATTATTCCATCATTATGATGGTTACTAACACAAGTATAGCCATAACGAATGGCTTTCATATTTTCAAAAACACTTTGATTTCATGACACTTTGATTCTCTTTGATTACATTAATAAATTACAATGCATCATGTTCATCAAAAATTAAATTCTGCAATTGGATGTTTGCAATCAACGTCACGCGTTGGTTAGCCAATCAGGTTTGACACACACGCGTGACGTCACTTGCAGATATCCAATTAAATCTAATCAGTAAATTGATACAGTGTGATAATAAACCTAAGCCTTAAAGCTGTAATATTAACACGCCATGCACAACCATGTTGTTTGTTGCAAGTACCAGATTGAAATAATTTTTCAATTCTGGGCAAATATATAAAGAAATGCGTTTGAAATGAGTGGTAAAAAAATACTGCAAGAATTGATATGAATATAGATTGTCGGTAATCCTTTATAAACCATAAGCCTGACTTGCTAAGAAATAAATAATTGAAGAAAGAAAGGCACGAAATTTTGAGAGATTATTCGGAAAAATATCCGTATCTTATTTTGGCTTTTGGCAGAATTTTGAATAAATTTTACTCAACTTCTTCAGTGAAGAATACGTAAGACAATTTTCATTAACTCTTTCGAAACTATTTCATGTTTAAAAAAAAAATTCATATTACGTAAAACTTTTAAAAATATGTAAAATCGGGTGCTTTTAAATGATTTTGATGTAGCGTTTAATTATCCTTATAAGAATTCGAAAAAAAGTTTTGATCTATCAAAATCTTGAAGAAAATGATGCAATATTTTATTTTATTTAGACAACTGGTATAGCAATATAGTATTGGAGCTAAAAACGTTCGAATTTTCTCAATGCGTTGATTAAGATCAAACTGGATCTTCAAATTTTTGATGTAGTAAAATTGTATCTGAAAATCAAACTGCATAAAAATATAATCTTATAAGAGTTATGATTATTTTGATTAAATCGGTTAGAGGTCAAGCAAGAGTCCTTATAAGGTATACGTAATTTCAATAAAGTACGCCGTGATAAATTTAAAAAAAAAAAGAATGTCCAGTCAGATTCTTCATAAAGTATAAGTTATTTCAGTATTAGACACCTTTATAATTTAAAAAAACGCCTAGTCATACCTAAAACCTTGCTTCTTGAAAGCGTATACTTCTTTTGCAATGGTATGCCTCATGATTAAAATTTTAAAAAGAAATCGTTTAGCTGCATTTTAAATCTTGTTTCTTATAAAATATACATTATATGCAGTAGAGGACGCCATATTAAAAAAAGAATGCCTAAACGCATTAAAAATTTTGCTTCTTCATAAAGTAGAAGTTATTTACAATAGTAGGCGTAATGATTAAAAAAATTGTGCCATTTAAAACCTTGTTTCTTCATAAAGTACACGTTATATGCAATAGTGAATGCCATTACTAAAAAAAAAGGATATACAGCCATACTTGGTTCTTCATAAGGTAGACTTTTTTTGCTATAGTAGATCACAAGATTATAATACACGTTTAATATTACCTAAAACCTTGGTTCTTCATGAGGTATACGTTATATGCATTAATGCTGGGTTCCCCAACTTATATGCAATAGTGAATGCCCCGCTTACCGGTCAAAGATTGAAAATTTTACCACGGCCGTTCATTGCTTATATTTTAGAATACTTCGATTTAATAACTTTATTTTTTTTCAGACATGGTTTCAAAATAAATTATAATTTCATGGGCGGTAATGGCGCGGCTTTAGGGGACGTATCTCAGCTTCCAGTCCCATGGAAAGTCGAATAATTAAAATGGAAATTTAATGTTACTTTGGGCGACTCGGTACCATTTAATCCATGGACAGGTATCGGACCGTGGCCAGCGGATCACAGCATTAATGGATGTTACAATAATAATTAAAAAAACGTCTAGCCACATCTATAATTTAGGTTCTTTCTAACATAGACGTTTTTCGCAATAGTAAACGTCATGATTACAATGCTTATTTAGTCACAAATAAAAACCTTGATTCATCATATGGGAGAAATTAACGTAACCATGTTTAAAAGTAAGGAAAAATTTCTCATATAGAAAAAGACAACCCACATTTAATAGAATAAATATATAAATACATAAATAATATTGTATACATAAATGAAAAAATGCACGTGGAATAGTTGTTTGCAGTCTAACATAGAAATAAGTCAACACATTGGGTATAAATAGAACAAAAATCATGGTTTAGGTAAATAGTTTTAGTTATGTTTGCTTTTTATCTTTAAATGTTTAATGGCAATTATTAGTTTCGTCTAAATCTTCAAAGAATCAACTTTTGTTAACATAAGATAAAATAATCATATGTTTCAATTTAATAAAATATGATCTCGATTGTTTACCTAGACCTTGTGTATTTAATCTTCAAAATTTTAAAAAACTAAACATTCATTATACATTGAACATTCTCTTAAAAATACAAATTAAATTTTATATTAATTATAAAACAAAAATTTGTTTTTATCGTAGAAATTAGGATACAACTTGTTGATAAAAATATTTGTTTAAAAAATTGGCTTAATTATTTCTCCAGTGACTAAAATGCTAATTAAAAAGTTTAATATTTCTGTAGTGGCGTGTTGAGGAGCAATGCGCCCAGGCATGCAGCAAAAGAGGACATACAATCGACGACTAAGGTTAATAAAATTCTAAATCTATTATTAACATTTTTGCTTTGAAATTAAGCTATTTGGCTTAAGCAAAATATTTCAAGGAAAATCAATATAAAATAATCATAAAATTTAAGCAAAATATTTTATGATGAATAGAATAAAACAAATTTATAAAAGGAGTATTATATCATAATAATATGTCATATTTTTTACATTTATAAAAATTTTAAAAAAAATTTCAAGGAACTTTTTTTGCAATGGCATGTATTCACATAAAATGAATTTAAAATTAGGATTTAGATGTCCATGAATATGCGTGGTTGCAAAATCTTTTGATTATTTTTTTTCTATTTTTTTCCTTTTAATCAAATCTAATCAAGGAGTTTGCCAGTCCCGCAACATCCGTTATTGCATCTTAACAAACTTCAACAATTTTTAATTTCTTGACTAAATTTTTCTTTTCTTCTTAAAATCGCAACTTAATTCTTGCTTACATAACAGTTTTAAGTAGAAGGCCATTCGCAATGCATAAATATTTACAAACACGAATGAAATGAAATAAGCGAGAACCAAATCCACTTATATCCAGCTCATTCCAAAAAAGGAAAAAGATTTTGATGAGGTTGGTGTTGGACAGTTTTCTGGATTAGTTGATCATCAAGAACAACGCACAGGACAGCATCATGCCTACGATCTGTAGGAAGAAAAAGAAGAAAAAAAAATTATAAACGCTTGCTTAACAGGGTGTTCAAAAAGTTTGAAAATGGACAAATATTTGAAGAAATTCACATCAGACCAAAAATCTAAACTTGTGAGATAATTTTAAACGATGCAATCATTGACGTCAAAAATCCAATCCTGTGCCAACCTGTCAACTAGTGCTAATTTAATTTGAGAAATATTGGTGCAAAATTACACTAGTACTAATTAAATTTGAGAAATATTGGTGCAAAATTACACTAGCACTAATTAAATTTGAGAAATATTGGTGCAAAATTACACTAGTACTAATTTAATTTGAGAAATATTGATGCAAAATTTAAGTAATTTTTCCGTCGTATTAACCCTTTGACGCAGATGGGACACCGGTGTCCCGTTTGTGTATTTTTTGACTCTGTAACTACAAGCAAAAACATTTTATGAAATTTTTTGAATATGAGAAGGCAGACAAATAGTTAGTACAAAAATCTATTAGATTACAGGAATTATATTTGTACTAAAATATATAACCCCATCAGATCTTAACAAGATGTTCAAAAAGTTTGAAAACAGACAAATATTTGAAGAAATTCCCGTCAGATATAAAATATCTAAACTTGTGAGATATTTTTAAAGGATGCAATCATTGACATCAGAAATCCAACCCTGTACTAACCTGTCAACTAGTACTAATTTAATTTGAGAAATATTGATGCAAAATTCAAGTAACTTTTCAATCGTATTAACCCTTTGACACAAATAGGAAACCAGTGTCTATTTTATATATGTTTTTGAAGTAACTACAAACAAACATGCATTATAAAATTTTTTAATAGTGAATCACCATTCTAATACTTACTATAAAAAAATCTATTAAATCATCGGAATTATATTTGTACTAAAGTATAAAATCTAAAGAAAGTAGTTTGAAAATTATTTCTTCATTCATATTCAAATATTTATCCATAATTGATTTTGTAATGTAAAGAAATTTCAGTGATGAATAATCTGTAATAATAATTGATGGTCTTAAATCTAAATAGCTGCAATTAAGTACAAATTCGAAAAATTATTTTTTGAAAGGGAATCATGTTTGGAAGATTTTATTTTTTATTTAGAAAAAGACAACGGTGTTTTATGTTGTATTTCATAACTATGGAATTGTTAAATTATATTATAAATTGTTAAATAATGTAATTAAATATTATAAAATTATTAAATAATGTTATTAAATATAATTATATCATTAAATATAATTAAATTATTAAATAGCAAAATGCTAAGTATAATATTTTTCACTTATATTCACCAAAATCCATACAAAATAATAGAAAAAGTAAAATATGATTTAAAAAAAACCGCGTCAAAGGGTTAAATTTTTTTTTTTTTATCATAGTGGTTGAAATGAATTTTAGTCTGACGAGCGGTGCAGGGAAGAAAAAAAATCGCTCTCTTTGATGAAGGAAAAAACGCTTTTACACTTTATCTCATGTAACTCAATTTATCGTATATCTTACGAGATAATATATAATGTCTCTTAAGACTAATAATATTGTTCAATACTATAAGCTAACAATGGTTATTTGCTTTGATGGCTAAGAGCAAACATACGACAGCAAATGGTTAACCATTTTAAGCAGAATTGTTATTAAAAATACATTTTTACACTTTATTTTTTTAATTTTGCATTAAATAGTATATTTAACATTCTAATCATTTCTTTCGTCTCATCCTATAACTTATATAGGGCTCATTTTTAAAGAATTATTTTTTAAATTTGCTTTTATTTGCAGTTATTTTGATCCAAGAGAAACAGTTATTCATCATTGAAATTTCTTTAATTTGCAAAATCAATTATTGATTAATTTTTGAACATGAATGCAGAAATTTTTTTCAAACTACTTTCTTTAGATCTCATATTTAAGAACAAATATAATTCTGATAGATTTTTTATAGTAACTATTAGACTGATTTGTATAATTAGAAAAACACTAAAATGTATTTTTGCATGCAATCAGAGCTTCAGAAAAAAATATATAAAATGGACAGTGGTGTCTTATCGGCCTCGAAGGATTAATTAAATGAATGAAGTTTTGAAAAAAAGCAGGAGAATAATATTTCAGTCATTAAAAAAATATGTGACATAGTAACTTTTCAATTTTTATATGTATGGGAATACATAGGGATTATATGTAGAATAATATATACAGAAAAAAGAATTCTGTGTCTAGCCAGACCCCGTTGAAATGTTCCAGGTTTCTGGACATGAATCCATTTATATCTTTAAATGCATTTATTCTCATAGCGTACTATTCGTCACTTAGGTTTCTCTCAGTTTTCCTCTGGTCAAAAATAAAATTTGGTATGCTTATGATCTACCTTTACAATATAATTATAGAAAATAAATGCATGGTTGTAATTTAAAAAAAAAATAGACTATTTTAGAATGGAGCTAGCAAATCTCAATTTATATTTTTTAATAAATATTGATAGTTAAATAGGAAATGCAGAATCCACCATCCTTGATATTTACTTTCGGATTTTTTGATCAAAAGGAAGGTAAAGAAGTATACACATTATTGGTAGAAGATTAATGTTTACGCGATTAGAAAACGAAATCATTGTAAAAAAAAATGAAGTATCATTTAGAAGAAAGCGATATAAAAATAATTATAGTCTGCTTAAGTCTCAGAGAAAGAAAGAATAGGTGAAAAGCGATTATTAAAAAACCATTTCTGTAATAAAACTGGTCTTGAGGCTTTGTTAACATCGCCTTCTTCAATAGTGATTCACCATATTTTAATGAGGTGTATACTTCGTTTTAATATTAGCTCATGAAATCAAATATGAGTACTTTTTTTTAAATTTCATCTGTGAAAGGGTTTCTAAACACATGCACTATGAGCAGTTGTAACGGAATATATTGTGGAAATTAATAATTGAAAAAAAACTAATAACTATACGTACCAGCACGCAGGAAATTCCTATTCCTATTCCGCCTAATATAAGAGCATGATCTTTTACAAAGTCTTTCATTTTCATATAACAATCCTGAAATAAAATTTACAGAATTATTTCAGAAAGATTAAAAGTAAGTCAGGAATGGATAGTAAACTAGACTTAACAAGATTCTAAAACTGGAACGGAATCTCGAAAATTTCCGGTGTTATTCCTACTCATATGTTTGTGAGTTGATGTGTGAAAGGGCTTGATGAAAGAAAGTTTTAATATTATGATTTATTTCAATTTATAATTAATAAAATTTTCTTGGATTTTATCAATTCTAAAAGGTCGTGAATAATGATGATTTAAGGAAATCTAATGGAACGGGTAGCCTCTGGTAGGAAGGGCGTTGGACCCATGTCTAAGAGGTCATGAGTTCAATCCCCACCTTCCGAAGACTCTTCGTGTAGTAAATGGTGACTGATACACGTTCAATCCCCACCTTCCGAAGACTCTTCGTGTAGTAAATGGTGACTGATACACGTTAAATCTATCAGATCACGAAGTCCTCCAAGTTCCTATAACAAATCAATACCACTGGGAGTACTGAATTGGAAATTGATCGATCTCTGATTCAGGACAAAATTACGATCTGTGGATGAATAAATGAATGTATGAATGGGTTTGCCATCTGAATGGGTTGTGACGTGTGTGTAGCTGAAGTCGTATTCTTGGTCATAGATGGTACCACTTAAAAACAAGAAACGCACCTTCTGACTTAAACTTGCTGCGTTTCAACAAACAGGCTTGTTGATTTTGGCAAATGGCATTAGAGACAACAACAACAGGAAACCGACTCAAGGTAGCGTCATAAATCATTAATAACTCTGTAAGGGTTACCACGTTTTGAGTTTTATCAGTTTTTTTAAACGTTTTCAGCTTAGTTAAATAGATTTGGAAGTCGATGGTAAATATAGCATAAGTAATATAATAAAATAACACTTGTCAAATACCAGCAGGTCTGTTTGGTGAAACCAAGCGAATTCAAGGCAGATGGCGTGTTTCTTGTTTTTCAGCCCCATACCCTCTATGGCCAAGAATATGACTATCACACGTCACATCCCGTTTTAAAGGTTGGAACCATTCATATACTTCATTCATCCACAGATCGTAATTTTGATCTTGATCAAACAAAGATCAATTTCCAATTCAGTACCCCGGGAAGTATTGATTTTTAAATGGGAAATTAGAGGACTTTGTGACCCGGAAAATTTAACGTACACCAGTCACCATTTACTTCATGGAGAGTCTTCAGCCGACGGGAATCGTACTCACAACCTTGGACACGGGTCCTACGATCCAAACAGGCTTATAATTAACAGTCTTAGCAGGTTTCTAATAATGATCCGTCTAAGTCATATAATAAACAGTACAAGTACCATGACAGTATAGGATGGTGTTTTTTTTCTTGCTTAGACACCCAAAAGAAAAGAAGAAAAAACAGACGTAGTAACCTGGAAGTCTTATAACAAATTTTAACCGCTAGCACCAACTCAGCTTAGGTTTACATGATTAAGCAGAATTCTTTTAATTTAGACCTATTTTTTCTTTAAAAAAACAAACTTTAATTCATTATACTGCTTAAAAGTAAAACATTTTAAAAATGAAAGTATAAATGCCAGCTTAAAAGGGATAAGTGCAGATAAAAATTATACTTAAAAATGTAAGATTGCCTGTCGTCTACAAACCTGCAATTAAAAAGCCTTGGCACTATCGTTATAAGTACTTTTACCCCCAAAATGACATTAAATTAAACTTTCCCTTAGTATTGTTTCCTTTTTAGTACTTTACAAGTTTTCTTTTAATGACAGCACAATACACTGAAATATCTTATTAACTATATATGCACATTGCCGCTTGCTAAACCAGGAATAATTTCAAGAATAATGTGATGAAAATGTGTCATAAGGGCTATTTAAATATTACATAAACATGCTTTTGTTTTCTTTAGCAATTTACAATCTCCTTATAAGCAAAAGTAAACCAAAAACTCACCCCTCATATGCTTACGTAAGAAAATCGAAACTTTCCTTGTTTTGACTTTAATTTCGAATTTTATTCAGGTTCATTCTAAGCAAAATCAACCAATCGTAGCTGTCATGTCACAGATTTTCATACAAATTATTTTAAGAAATGTTCTTGATGAAAATCGGATAAAATATATCTTTCAGACATTTTTGATCAAAGCTACGTTTAGGGAGCCATTTTGGGGTAGACTATATTTGAGGGTGCCCCTTGATTTTCGCCAAGTTGTGATCGAGGTTGATCCCCAAGCTGGGCGATGTTGAAGCCTAATCGTGATTCTGATTGGTTTAGATTTTAGCGTTATTTTTAAATGTTCAACGGTATATGTAATTTCAGAGGTTCGTTAGTTCTATGTTGGATACTAGCTGATAAGGTTACTTTTGCTCCTGGTCAATAAGATCAAAGGTATGTGGGCAGTCATAAAAAGGGACTTTAGAAAAAAATGTCACCTTCAGTCCGGTACCACAGACGCCATTTTCGATTCGTATATCGCCGAATTTATGTGGCGATGGAGGTACACAGATTCTATTCATGATAAATTTAGACAGTATCTAACTGCTATTAGACAATTCTGTGCATCTACATCTGAGAATTTTTAAGCTTAATGAAGAAGTGAGTCGCCTACTCCATTAATTTTTGTTTCGATTCAAAATGCATTTTATTGAAGTTATACTTCTTATGCGACTTCCAACAAGGTTGCGTTAAACGTTTAACGCTACATTTTTATTGGCCGGGAAATCACGTGGTAGGATCTAGTTTTCCCTCATTCATTTCCTTATTGTTTTGGTTCTCACTAGCATAAAAGTATTGTTTTTCTATAAATATTTTTTTAGTTTGTTTTGATGCACATATAATTTACTAGGGTAGTATTTTTTTATTTTCAAATTTAGTGGATAACAATTGTAAAAAATGAGTGAAAACAATCCCACGGACAATGCGACGGATTTAAGGTTATGTCAAGGTACGTCTCTTGTGAATATCAATTGATTGTTAGGTTTTCTCTTCTGAAAATACGTTATGACGTATTCACATACATTATTAATACAAATACATTTTCCAGGGCGAGACGATAAGGCAACCACAAGCACTTCAACTGGTTCAAGAGGTTCACGAGGGAAAAATGCACAATATTACCGTGATTACAGAGCACGGAAGCGAACGGAGCAGGAAAAAGAGTCGTTGAATAGAACTAGTGATCCTTCTACGACTGCTGATTCTTCTACAATTAACGTCGCAGGTTGCGAAGTTTAACTTCTTCCTCGCGGAGGGACTCCACGCACTATTTTTTGGGTTTATTAATTTTGCTTATATTTGGGTTTATTATAAAGTTTGGCCGATGTTTTGTTGAAATTTTCCAACGTTTTGTTGAAATATCATTATGTTTTGGCAGCAATTCATGTTACCACGCCAAACATAAGTCACCAATTTTGCCAAGGGGCACTCTCAAGTATATTTTTACCCTATTTTGAAAAATGAATCAATATTGGCGCTATTTACCTCAGTGAAAGCATCGCCACCCCAAGGAGAAATCTGGCAGTTGCGAATGCTGCTCTGGTCCTTTTGCCTGCAGCAGGATTCTGGTACTCGCTTGTTACCACTAAACTCTTTATTCTTTTTCGACCAAATTTCATAACTAGCATCTTGTTCCTGTATCATACCGCAACATTTGAACTGCAACAAAATATCAGAAATTGAGCAATAAAATATTAGAATAAAATATTGAACTATAGCAGTATCGTTTTACGCTGCTGCCTAACACAAGAGAATCCACGCGCAAATATTTTCTGGGATATTATCTCGAAATAAATCTGTAATAATTAAATGAAGTTGTGGTAGTCTGTCTGTCTGTTTGCCGCTTTTATAACTCCATAAGAGTTTACGCTAGCTTTCTGAAATTTAAAGTGCGCCAAAGGGTTATTTTTAGCTTTGCTCCTAAACTTCGCTTGAAAACTCAGATTATTCGAGATTGACATTTGAAAAATGGATCATCTTTACATTAATCATTGTTTTAAATATAGGAGGTTTTATTTGTTTTTTCAAATATTTTAAAGATAATATAATTGATATCTTCCAGCTTTAGCTTTCATTATTGAAAAAAGGAAGAGTTTTTTTTGCACGTTTTTTAGTAATTAAATTATTTATTATTCGTTACGTCAGATGAAAAAAAACGATCCATGCAAACGTGGTAACATGCCCGGACTACTCTACCAAATTAGCATTTCTAACGTTATTTGAAAAGATACGTATTAATTTATCTCATAGTTATAGTTTTAAAATGTGTTTCTGTAAAAGTAAATTTATAGTCAATGGTAATAGAGATCTCCAAGCTAGAGGCTGAACCATCACTGAGTAGAATAAATCGATTGCCGTTTGCACCATTCCTATTGGATGATTCTCATTAACATCTCAATAGTAACGTGTTCCTATTGGTCGCTATCTGTAAGTCATTGATCAGTGTTGGATTTCCAGTGGACAGGTAAGTTAAGTGAGGTCAGCTTAGACATCTCTATCGAAATAAAAAATTTAAGTTGCATACTAAAAAAAAAATTAATGAAGAAATGTGTTAGTAATTCGTTAAAAAGATTTCGTAAGAAATCGCTAAACTATAATTGACACTATGAATACTTAGTTTTGGTAATAAGTACTAGTACTACTGGTATCATGGTAAATGGTACAGTTTAAATAGATAACAACTATACTAATAGAGGCACAATGCATTCTATTAGTATATTTGGTATCTATTAAAATATTGAATCTTTATTTTTTATAGAATGCACTAATAAAAGCATGTTTTACTCTGTCTAATAACGCAAAGTTACCAGAAAAGATAGCAAAAAATGATAAATAAGTAAATAAAATGGAATTATTTCAGTTTTATTAATAGTATTGTGTTTCAGCTTAACACATGATTTAAGTGTTACTTGGTAATGATTTATTATTTACAGCTAGTCTACAGCTAGTCCTAAATAAAGCATCATAGATATCAAGTCAATGAGTATAGTATAAGATATCAATATACAGTTGGATAAAAAGGTTTTAAAATAAAAACAAAAAGAAGAAACATGATTATTTACGTATTCCTGAACTGAGTCCCAGGCATCTGTGACGGCTGTCTCATTTCTATAGAGGGGTATGGACATTATCATCTCCTGATTCATCTGCTTCTCCACCTACAGGGAGAAATTGGAATTAAAAAAATAAAAATCAAGTTAAATAACTCAACATATATTATATAAAATGGTTTGAAAATAAATACAGGATGATTTTGGAAATAAAGGGATGATTATATGATGATTGGATCCAACTCGACTCAGAGGTCAAGGCACTGAACTGTCATCGTGAAGAACTGGGGTTCGATCCCCAGTGGCGGCTAGGAGTCCATCATCGATGGTTTCCTGTCCGTAATGCTGACAACATTATGTTGTTTGTCAAGAAATTATGGAGCCTAAACCTCCGTGACCTCCCTGGTCCCCATCAGGTTTTTATGTGAATGCTTTACTTTACGTGATGATTATTTAGGTTTAGGAAATAAATATGGATTTCGCTCATGTGAAAATTCTTTTTACTACGGACATAAAAAGTACTATTAAGATCTGTGAGTCTTGCTTAAATCATATTAACGTACGTTCTCTAGTAAGCTTCAGTCCTACCTCTCATTTCTATTGCGCTTGTGAATGTATCTTGTCTCAGTTTGTCTTCTTCGGCCACCGCCACTCCTCGGCTTCCAAGGTTCCTCTTCTTGTTTTTTTTAAAATTAATTTTCTTTCCTTTTCATCGTTAGTCAACTGTGTTCTTTTCTTATTTCTAACTTGTTTCGGTTTTGATTTTTTCACTTATTATGGCCCAAACAAGGAGTGTCATTTTCGAGCACTTGCATCGAATTTTTTTAAATTTCAGTTTTGAAGCGAAAATAAATTTCTTTCTTTAAATACTTACAGTATTGTTAATTTACAAATTATTGTTAATTCAGTTAATGGGCATTTCACAATATATTTTATCGAAAAAACAAATTCGTCACAATATAATTTATTACATAAATGAACCCTTCACAAAATATTTTATCATAAAATCGGATCCTTCACAAAATATTTTATCATAAAATCGGATCCTTCATAAAATATTTTATCGCAAAACAGACCCCTCACAAAACATTTTATCGCGAAAATGAACTCTACACAAAACTTTTGTTTTGAAAAACTGAGTCAATGACCTCTTTAATTCATAATTTTGAAACTCCTTAAAATGGATGTTGGTATTTTTTTTCCTCAGAAAACATACCCTCATTTTCCCATACTCAAAATATTATTAGTAGATTTTTCTTACTTTTCCAAAAAATGGGTCTTTTTACAAAAAGTGTGGAATAATCGAATATTCTAATTTGAAAACTAATTTTACATCGATTCACAAAGAAAAAATCATCGTAAATCTCGATAAAATTTCAACTAAACATATAATTTGAAATAGAATTTTTAGAAGTTGTTTTTAAAAAGAAATGAGGAAAAATATTTTCATTTTCTTCTTTAAAATGTGCATTTTGATTATTTTTTAGCCAGTAAAACGCTTAAAGATATCGACTAAAAATACTTCATGAAAACGATATTTAAGATATACAAAAAAATTTTTTTTTGTCTGTCTTCTTTCAATATTAAAACTGTTTATTGAATACCCTTCATTATATAAATTTTTAAGTAAATTTACCGCAAAAATGTTTTTTTTTTGTTAGTTTAAATAACAATATTACCATAAATAAGGCAATATGAATTATTTAATCATATATAACATTCAGATTTTGTTCGTAATACATATGTTCTCCTTTCATATGCATCTTAGAGACAAAAAAGCCTAGACATTAAAGGTTGTATAGGGTAAACCAACCAGTGAAGGAACACTAATCAGTGAAGGAACATTTCTCATATATTGATTAAAAATAAGAATTTGAAAGTTTTTCTTTAGATTGATTGGTAAAAAAGCTTACTGCCAAACAATAGGAAGTCATCTAGCAATGTTTTGGATTACCTGGTCCAATAGACTTCGCTGGAAAAATTTTTGAATTTGTTATTATCTCTGCAACACCTTATTTCTTTGAAAAAATTATAATGTGAGTGTTTGCATGCATATGTTTGAAGTGGAATTAATTGAATGTAATAGTTTTATTTTTCTTACTGTGAAAAAGAGAATTCAAAATATAGTTATTGAAGTTACGTTTTATTTTTTTTTCAAGCACCATAGCATAATAAAGTACTGAGATAAGGGGGTGTTTATTCACTGGATCACCAAACGATGAAAAACCAGTGAAGGAACAAGCGTTCCTTTACTGGGTTTTTTTCTAAGTTAATGAAATAAAAGATAAACTTTAATTTTCTTGTACCTTTAGTGATGTTCCGCATCAAAAGTATGTTAAAAATACGAAAAACAACTTTTAACCAGTGAGGGAACAGGCATGTTCCTTTACTGGGCATATATTTCGCAGTGGATGAACAGTATGTATTAATATGTTAACACTTTAATTTTCAATTCATGACTACAAAAAAGAAAGTTAACATTTTTCAAGTATTTATATGTTATAATTTCAAGAATAGGCTTGTTTTTAAATATTTGTATGGCTTATAAATTCATAAAGAGCATTAAAAATAACCAAAATTAGGTGTTCCTTTACTGGGTGTTTATTCACTGGTAAAAGCTGTTCCTTCACTGGGTCTTCTTACTACTTGTTATTTGAACCTCCAAAACTTTAAAACAATATTATGTAAGTTCTCTGCAATTTTTTTACATGATTTGCAATTAGTAGCAAATATGTTGACACTGTCATTTTACTGAAATTACGAATTTTGAAATTAATAAGATTTCTTAAAAGGCAAGCGAAGCTTAAGTGTTCCTTCACTGGTTAGTTTACCCTATTATCATTTAAGCGAAAAATTAACAGAAATACGAACATTATCAAAAGCTGAAAACACTGAAGCCCGTTTAGTTGTAGGAGAAAAACAGAGAAGAAATTAAAAATGAGAACTGGAAATTCTTCAGAGTTTTAGTACTCAATTAAACCGGTTTTGATGTTTTTAATACCATCTTTTTCTCACTTATGAATTTTTTGCGACCCTTAATATCTATATTTTATTTTCATATTTGATAAGAATTTAAAAAATAAAATACTTTAAGGCAGTTTTATAGAAAAATCAGCAGCATAATATTGAAATACGGTACAATAAAAAATCTTAAATCTTACCTCGTTTCTGAAGACGTAGCCTAAAATTCCGCCTACTAGCATTATGATGAATATCATGAAGAGAATGATGAAAAACTAAAAAAGAAAGAAATTATAACATATTATACAGTTGAGTTGGGCCTTACACAGCGTTGAGTTTCGTGGTATTAAGTTGAGTTTCAGCACAGTTCAATTGTACTTAAACTCTACAGCATGTTTCACCTAAATAAAGCTACTTTGATTTTGAATCATAACTGGATACAAAGAAAACAACACGATTTCGAACCAAATATATATAAATTACAAAAGTCTATATCTAAACACATATTTACATGGAGCACAGAGGTGAAATGTAAATAGACCATGCATATCACCATAATTTTTGTCCTCATAATTAAACCACATGACTGTAGCGTTAATCAAGAGAGAACTTTCTAACTTCCGTTTCTCCTCGTTATTTTAATGGAAGAATATCGCTGCTTTAATTTCAAAGTCTAAAATCTTAAAATATGGTGGTTTACCGTATAGATTTTGGTTGTGCAAAAAATTTGTTAAAGGACAAACTTAAACATTTAATAGGTAAGTTTTGTCTCTTTACGGATTTAAAATGATTGTATTTACTATATAAGTGAACTTTTAGCAAATGCACCTTTTCCTTAAAACATCATATGAATCCCAATTATTCCATTTTATTCATTCCAAAATCCAAATTTATAATTTTAAAACTACCTTACAAGTAAAAATAAACGAATAAGAACACAATGCAACCACAAAAAAAATGATAATATAGAATTATTTATTATTAATGCATTTTTCTTTAATTTTAATGCTAAGAAGTCATTGTTGTTTCTTTCTTCGTTTATTTACAATGTATTTTTTTTACTCTCTATAATTGCTTTTAAAAAAAATAATTTTTCAATTTATTTTATTTTATTTTAGCAGCTTGCATTGAATTTACTTAGTTCATAAAATATATTTGCTCACAAAGCAGATTATAAAAGAACAATTGGATTAACAGAACAAAGTTAACTCTTAATTTATACGTTCGTTAATGAAATCGTCAGATCTTTTTAAACTGCAATAATACATGAAAAAAATAAAAAAAACTAGCAGTGATATTAAAGCTGGTTAAACTTAATAACACAGGGGTAAAGTTTAAATAAAATCGTGAATTTTCAAAGAGTGAAGCGAATTTTAAAGTGATGCAGCTTTTTTTTTGTTCCTAAATTTTTATTTTATTTTTCGACGACTTTTTGACTTGTCTAAAATGGTTTATCGTAAAGGCTTTTAAAAATTCCAAATATTTATCAGTTATTTGTATAAATTTTCTGTTTCGTCAGTATTCGCGATCGCAACGAACTATAGGGGGCGTTGTTGTATGAGACGCTTACCTGCGATTTCCATATGAACCGTCATTCAGTTACTCTGGAGACGTCGTTAATGTAGCGTGTAGCATTGCAACGTTCCTTCTTTAATGTGGCTTATTAAATTTAAAAAAGAAAAATGCTTGATCTTCTTTCTTGTACAACCGAAAACAAAATGGTATCTCTTTTTATTAGAGAAGGAATATCCAAAACACATCGGAAAAATATTTGTACATTAACAGAAAAAAATATGTATATTCTTATAAGAGTTAAAACCTAATGCCCGAGAAATAGTATTACTAAATTTAATGATATAACATGAAAGGCCCATTTAAACTTTACATTCTATAGTTTTAAGAATCATATTAGTTCAAAAATTAAAATGAACAAAAAGTATACATAAGCCTCATAATTTTATGAAATTTAATTTTGTAAACAACGTTTTTTGACAACAATTTTTATCAAAAAATTTCAAGTTTCAATAAAAATCATTATTTAGAAACTAAGAAACGTAAAATAAAGAATGCTGACGAAAAAAAAAAAAAAAAAAAAAAAAAAAAAACAATTCTTTTTTGTCGCCATTTTTAGTGCTACGAATATTCGTCTTTGGGATTTGCCAAAAACAAAACAAGATGCAATTTTATTTTTTCAGGAGGGAAATATTTTACCGAAAAAACGAAAATGTACCAATTCCCACAACATAAAACTTTATCTTGGCAAACGTACGTTTTGGAAATGTTATTTCATTTGGAATCTTATTCATCAGAGTTCATATGGCGATATGATTGTTTTGAATCTATGCTAAACTCTATATCGGCTCATTTTCCACCGAAATCCAATTAACTATTTTGATTTTAAATAAAGTGTTTTATTTTATGAACTGTCGCAAAAATTTTAAGTGTAGATTGGCGGCACTTAAAAACCGCCAAATCTGTAGCGGCGGTGGCGTTAATACGTCGTAAGTACCGAATTTTTATTCCATACTTTTCTGAATCATATTATTTCAAACATTGGAATATACAAGAAGTATACATAAACACATAATGTTATACCATTTAATTTTTCAAAAGTATTTTGAGAACAATTTTTATCAAAAAATTATAAACTAAAAAACGGAAAATAAAGAATTCTTAGGATAAAAAAAACGATTTTAAGAATTATTAACATTGAAATAAAAACTTTCATATTGTTTCTTTTTTTATTATTCTTATAGTTCTTAATCAGACGTAAAAAACCATTCTGTAGAGAACCATCATCAAATGAAAAAAAAATATTTACAAGCAAATTTTTTATTGTAAAAATCATTGCACTTACCTGATTTATGATTCCCGGAGAATTCCAAAATGATAAGTTCCTTGTTTGAAAACTTTATTCTCAAATAATAGATACATAGTTTATACCTTCATTACTTTTAGATAACATACTACACAGCAAAATTTTATAATTGATATGAATTTGAATATGTAGCTAAAAACAGAATAGCTGAATTCTAGTTGAACTTATTCTTTCAAAATTAAAAAAAACTTACCAAGAAAACGATTTAAATTAATTAAGAATCAGCACAAATGGCACTATTTCAAGTAACTTGGATAATTTTTTATTGTTGTTTTCCGAATTATATGGATACAGAAATATATACTATTCTATAACGAAGAAGAATATGCTATAACTATTACAATTCTGTATGTTCTGAATTCATATTTATTCACTGGAATGACGAAAGCAATGTTGACTTCACTTTAATTCGTAATGAATTGAAGACAGAAGAAATGCATTTTACCTTAATACACACATCTGTAACAGTATCCGAAATCGGAAGTCATCAGTTGCAAGTTTGTTGATAATAGAAATTAAAAATTATTGAGGAATTTTTCTTCAAATGTTTGGCGTGTTCTGTTCCTGAAAGATTTACTAATATTCTGGAGATTTTTTTCAAGTTCTTCGGCCTTTTCCTTAGGGAAATTTTGTTTCTTATTTGCTGCTAAAAAATGGCGTCTGATTCAGTCAATGACTTTGATGGAACTAAATGAAAACGTGATAAATTAATGCCCGATATTTACAGGCTCCCGCTAGACGGCGTACTCGAGCGTTGCGATCGCGAATTATGTGGTGAAGACAATGTTGGGTGATTTGTTTTTTTGGCAATATTATGCTTGCCTTCATGGCTAATGGGATCATTTGAATCAATTTTCATGCTTTAGGAATAAAAAGTATAACAAAACAAGGTAAACAAAAGTACACACAAAACAAGGTGAAAAAAAAGTATACACAAAACAAGGTAAATAAAAGTATACACAAAACAAAGTAAAAAAAAGTACACACAAAACAAGGTAAAAAAAAAGTATACACAAAACAAGGTAAAAAAAAGTACACACAAAACAAGGTAAAAAAAAGTATACACAAAACAAGGTAAAAAAAAGTATACACAAAACGAGGAAATAAACAAAAACCCTATCAAATTTTAAGGAATCACTAGTGTGAAAAGCGAAACTGGAATCATGAAAACCTGTTTAAATGCCGGTGGAAACAGAAAGGAATCGAAAGTTAATTTTTAGAACCACCAGCAAGTTTTATCAAGCAATCAAATTGGTTTGATGTTTTTCATATAACCTTTATCAATACTGATTTGATACATTTCGATAACAATTTCGCTTCTTTCGCACTTAGATAGTAATTTGTGATTCCTAAGGAGTGTATTTTTTGAACAACATTTTTGAACAGGATTCCAAAAATATATGTTAAGGGCAGCGATTATGAAATATCTTGCATGTTTTTGTCAAAAACATTAAACAACACGTATTCATCTCTATAGTTTCTTTAATTAACCAATAAATTAAAACACAAAAAATGGAGTGTAGTACATACCGTAAGAAGCATGCATTTCACTTCTTTAATGGCTCCAAAACAACCCAGAAATGAGATAATCGTCACAATCACACCCGTGGCTATCAGAATTATGGCCGAACTGAGGTAGAGATCGGTACCCAGCAATCGTTCCATGAACGATCGATCTGCGATCGTCCATATCCCGACTGCGAAAACAGCAATTCCACATATCTGCAATCAAAAAAAAAATATATAATAAATTTAAAAAAAAAAAAAATACAAACTTAGAAAAGATGCGATGCGAAATACACAGATTGTCTAAAATACATGCCAATGATCAAATATTTCTTTATCGCAAATATTATAACGTGAAATTATTTCAAACGAAGTGATGCGAAATACTCAGATAGTCCAAAATATATGTCAATCATCAAATATCTCTAAATCAGAAATATTATATTGTGAAATATTTTCAAACGAAGTGATGCGAAATTCACAGATTGTCCAAAATATATGTCAATCATCAAATATTTCTAAATCGGAAATATTATAATGTGAAATTATTTCAAACGAAGTGATGCGAAATTCACAGATTGTCCAAAATACATGGCAATGATCAAATATTTCAAAATTGGAAATATTATATTGTGAAATATTTTCAAACTATGTGATGCGAAATACTCAGATTGTCCAAAATATATGTCAATCATCAAATATTTCTAAATCGGAAATATTATAATGTGAAATTATTTCAAACGAAGTGATGCGAAATACTCGGATTGTCCAAAATATATGTCAATCATCAAATATTTCTAAATCGGAAATATTAGAATGTGAAATTATTTCAAACGAAGTGATGCGAAATTCACAGATTGTCCAAAATACATGGCAGTGATCAAATATTTCAAAATTGAAAATATTATATTGTGAAATATTTTCTAACTATGTGATGCGAAATACTCAGATTGTCCAAAATACATGACAATGATCAAATATTTCAAAATTGGAAATATTATATTGTGAAATATTTTCAAACGATGTGATGCGAAATACGCAGATTGTCCAAAATATATGTCAATCAGCAAATATTTCTAAATCGGAAGTATTATAATGTGAAATTATTTCAAACGATGTGATGCGAAATACACACAGTTTGTCTAAAATATATGCCAGTGATAAAATATTTCAGTATCGGAAATATTATAACGTGAAATATTTTCAAGCGATGTGGTGTGAAATACACAGATTGTCCAAAATACATGCCAATGATCAAATATTTCAAAATTGGAAATATTATATTGTGAAATTATTTCAAAATATGTGTTTGACGATATCAAATTTGACCCCAATTTCACCCTAGGAGTGGAACGGCGAGCACTTTTAAAAGTTTAATTAGTAATTTCTTCTAACAGATTTGGATTTTTAAGGAAAAAAAGTATCTCAATTTGACCTACAGGTGGAAAAAAACGTATACCAATATAAAAATTCATTTAATATTTTTTCTATACACCATGGGTATTCGGTATTCACTAATTAATTCCTCGAAAATAAAATGTTTATAACAGCAGGTAATAAAACGGAATGAGATGCTGTTTAAAAAATTTTTATTAAAAAATAGTGTTTTTCGCGAATTTTGAGCTCAATCCAATTTTTCAAACAAGCTTCTCCATATGTATCTATTTTTTTCATTGCCCATTTTCAACCGTATCCAGTTTTTTCAGTTTTTTTCGAAAGTGCACTTTTCTTTAAATATTTTTAGTTTGTAAAAGATATAATATGGACTAAAAATCACCTCATGAAAGTGATATTTCAGACATTCGAGAATATTCACGCGTTTTCTTAAAATTTTGAAATTATTTATTTAATATCTTTCGTAAATTATGCCAAGTAAGGCAAAAATAGATTTTTGTTTATTTAAATAACAATTTTACTATAAATAAGAAAACATTTTTTGTTATAACCGTCGCTGAACGGCCGACCCAATTTAAAGTTCACGACCGATGCTCACCTCCGTAGCCCTGTAATTTTGAACCCAATCCAGAAGACAAGGGTACTTCTAGATCAAACATTCTGAGAAATTTGCCTTTTTGGCGGACTTTCTTGATGGAACAAACCCGCTTTTGCGTTACATGGAGAGGAAAACCACGACGGGAAACCACCACCTCCCATGGTAAGCAAGACGACAAGGGGATTTTAACCTATTATACGTCTACCACTGAGTGTATTTTACTTCAGTACTGATGGTGTAAGCCGGAAGCAAAATTCGTATCAACAAGGCACTGTTGGGATTCGAACCTGGTTGACCTTATTAGGGACCGAATGCTCTATCCCCTTAGGCACAGCTGCTTGTTTTAAGTAATAGCTGATAATTTAATTAAAATTTAATGCGCTTGGTTTAACGGGAATTTCATTAAAAATACGCGCGGTGCTCAAGGTGTTAAGTATCTTTTTCGAAGTTTTTCTCCTAGGAAAAAAAAAAAAAACACCACAGTTATACTGTCTTTAACTCGAAACAATTCTATTAATTACAGACAATATACTCTTGTCGTAAAGAATTATTGTGGCCTTAGAATGGACTTAAATAAGTTGTTGAATTCTAACGGAAAAAAAACTGCCAATTTGTCGAGAGTTCTCCTATTTTATTGAAATCTTTAGAGTCAATGAATATTAACGCATTTTTTACCAGCATAATGAAACATTGAAGTAACTTTTCAAATATATAAATAAAAGAGTAGATCATTTCATTTTCACAAAACTATTATAAAATTACTATACTTCATATTTTGTGTTATTTTTTATAATTAGAATAGGGAACGCTGGTTAATTGTGGACAAAATTTAACAAAGTAGTCATAAATAAATGTAAAAAAAAAAATTATTGCAGCTATAATAAGAGTATATTATTTCTAATCATTTCGACAAGTTAGCTGTAAGGGTAATGCTCATAAATTTTTATTTAAATATAGGAAAAAGATAAATGGCAACGCTTGCAATCTTTGAAGACTCATCAATATAATGAAAAAAAAGACGGTAGGCTAGTTTACGAATGTTGAGTTTCAACGCCCAATTTGAGCTTTTCCTTAAATAAAGTTCTTCGACGAAATGTATGAAGTTGAAAACATCTACACCCTCAACATACTTAAAAGAAATGGTGTTTCAACTTTAATTACCTAGGTGGAGTTGAGTTACAAGAGAGGCCGATTTTGACAGATGAAGTCAATGCTAGCAAGCTTTGTATACTTTTTTTTCACAACAATTACCTTCAGATTTATTGGGGTACGCCTCTTAGTGCCTAACGTGTCAATTTTATAAGCTTATTTCCAGTTTCAAGAAGGTTAGAAATTAAAATTAGTTTTTGAAACCCAAGAATTTATGACTTTTACTCTTATACTCTATTTCCAAGCAGGATCAGAAAGATTTGTTTAAAAAAAAATTTTTTTTTTAATTTGAAATATGCTACCAGGGGTGTCAAACTCGCGGCCTGCGGGCCGCATGCGGCCCGAGATGAACATTTTTGTGGCCCAGTCAATACATCCGACGCTAAGTAAAAATAAATTAGAAATGCGAATTAGAAAGGAAACTAGCATATCAAATTATAATATACTTTATTTATAAACTATACGGATCATTTTAAATTGTACGCGCGAAAATGTAAAATTCTAATTGGTTTGCGGCACCTGCCATTCCAGGGATACTGCATCGTATCAAAAATACGCAGAAAAAATTTCAAATCTTAGAACGGAATTTGAAACAAGGCTTAATGATTTTAATTCCTCGGAAAACAAATTTTGTTTGTGTTCGTCGATTTTCTCAATAAATATAGACTCAGTAGTATGTAAATGGAAGTGATTGAGATTCAGTGCGACTCAAATTTGAAGGCAAAATTCATTGAAGTGGTTATGCCTGAATTTTACAAATATTTACCAGCAAGGTTTGAAAATACTAGAAAATTCGCATATGAAATTATTTCCATGTTTGGAAGTACTTATCAGTGCAAGCAATTATTTTCTGTTATGAATGGAAATAAATCTCCTGTCCGAAACCGTATTAATAACGCTCATGTTGGGTCAATTTTGAAGGTAGTCTCGGCCAAAAAAATTTCTCCCGAAATAGGAAAGATAGTAGCAGAGAAGAGATGTCAAGTATCAAACAATAATTTAACTTTATATATGTTTATTACAATGTACTATTCGAAATAAAAATATCTGTTTCTATGAACATTGATTTTTCTTTTTTTTTGCGGCCCACCTAAAGTTAAGCATTGTTTATTTGGCCCAAGTTAGCTTTTGAGTTTGACACCCCTGTGCTACAACAATAAAAACAATTGGATAACTGTAAGTGACGTCGTCGTGGGTAAATCTTGCCGATTCAAAATCCAATCAGGCTAAATTTTAGAACACATGTACAGCTGCTCCGACCATTGCTGGAGCAGTAGCAAAAATGTAAAATCAAGTGGTAAATAGTGTGAGAGAAAGATATGCAAACCCATTGACTTTTTAAAATTAAGTTTTGATTCTCATCAAAAGTGTATTACTCTGCTACATATGACATTGGATGCTAGGGATTTTACTTGGGATAATTGTGAGTACTAGGGATAACTTACACAAGTTGATAGTACTTACCAGTATGACACAGTTTGCTAGGAAAAGAGCATATTTCACTACTTTGGCAAACCCCTCCACCATTCTCGGCAGCTGCAAAGACAAGAACACTTGAATCAGAGGGACATACTATTTAGGGTGTTTTACTTTTGATTATAGAATAAAAGTTACATGTTTTTACTCTTGATATTTTACATTTGGTGACTAAGCAATAAATTGAAGTAATCGTTTGTATAAACTGGGCTGAGCAAACACAAAATGTATGCTAAAAACGCAGGGAGAATCTGACCCATGATCCGTCTACCACTGAGGATACTTTATGTCAGCCCTGTGGTCGGTGCGAGTCAGGTGCGGAATTCGAAAATCAGCCTTCACTGGGATTCGAACCCGGTTCACCTCATTGTGAGACGAGAGCTTTATCCCCTGAGCCACCACAGCTCAAGAGCAAGTTTTTTCTGTTTTTTTTTTTAATTACCGTCTATGAACAGCCAACCCAATTTTGAGTTTACGACTACTGATAACAAGCTTAATCCCGTCCCACCCCCGCAAGGGGGCACTCCGAAAGTTTGAAGTAAGCATAACAGTTCAATTACATGAGCAAACATATTCAAAATTTTCAAATTAGAGTTTTAACAAATAGGTAGAATATTAAATATGAAATCCAGAAAACAGTGCTACTTAGAAATAAAATAAATACAAACAAACATAATAAAGAAAATAAACAGTAACAATCAGAAGAGATATTGATGTCGTATCTTCAGTAGGGCTGCAAAGTTAATGAAAGGAAACAATTTCACAAGGAAAATATGGGATGTTTGTAACTCAGAATATAATTACAGCTGGCACAACACTACTAATATATATATAAACTCTAGGAACACAAGTGATTAAAATTTTCAAAATGAGGAATCACATTTGGGCAGAGATTGACAAAAGCATGAAACTAAAGCACAAAAATCATTTTAAGAGAAAATTCAAGTAAAAATCAAACCATAACAGGTAAATCAATAAGCCGTGATTTAAAGTGTATCATTCCTAACAATAGGCGGCAAAAGGCCATCAGGACTCAGGGAGGTGCCTTGTTACTAAACAATTTTCTTATTATTTCCTCAATTCCCTTTTTTACGACTACTGATGTTCAACTCCATAACCTTATAATTTTGAACCCAATCCAAAAGGCAAGGGAACTCCTGGATCGAGTATTGGGAGAAATTTGCCTTCGTGGAGGACTTTTTGATGGAGCTAACTCGCATTTGCGTTACATAGAGAGGAAGACCACGAGAACCTCCCACGGTTAGCCTGACGGCAAGCCGGTAGACGGCCTAACCCATGATCCGTCTACAATTGAGGATATTTCACGTCAGCACTGTGGTCGGTGCGAGCCGGATGCTGAATTCGTATTAACTGGGAGACACAGCTCAAGAGCAAGCTTTTGACATTTTTGCTCCTATCATATGAAGCATGCACAAACAATATGTAAAACCAGTAGACAGTACTAAAATACTCGTTAATTTAAAATGCCCCCCCCTTCAGCGATGCGCAAATGATATGCTAAAAGAGCAGATTCATGGCTATAGTTCTTATTTAATATATACTCTCAATATAGTTTATTGTATTGACACATATTTAGTTGCTGATTCTAAAGGAAAAAATTTAAAACTTATTTTGTTCCGTTATTATTGCAACTATAACTACAATTTATTTTTTAAATTACCATTTTATTTTACGTTAATATAGATTTTTATATTTTTTCCACCAATAAGATCATTTAGTAATAGAGCGAAAAGCTGACTCTCAATAGTCTCTCTTTATTAAAAAAAATGACCTCTTCTTCTGGGTGCCTGAATTTACGTCATATTTTGTTTTGCAGCGTGATAAGTATAAGACTATTAAAATTATGATAGGGTTTAGAAAAATGCACAGGAAGTACAACAGAATAAATAATTTATCATTTGACAACACTTAGCAAAAAATACCATGTGGGCCGCTTTGCAGTCCGCACAAATGCAACTAAAAAAGTTGAAATTCATAAAAGTTAGTCATTTTTTTGTAAAGTTAACGCTTGTTTTTTTTAGAATTTTAATTTTTCTCAGAAATTATTTTAATTTTTAATACGTTTTTCGCGATTTTTTGTTTTTTGCAGCCTGTTTACGCTTTGTTGTACGAAACTTTATCTATCTCCAGGTTTTTTTTTTTATATTTAAGCTCATGCTTGAGATCATGTCAAAAAAAAAACAAAGAAAATGATAAGATGCCAGAGAGATAAAAACCATTTCCTATTAGAACTATCATAATGATATAAGTTCCGTTAACGAGTAAAATTAGTTTTTTCCCCCATCTTATTTAGTCACACAGTGAAACTTTTTTATTTAGGTATTTTGTTTCGTTTTTAAATCCGAGCAATCGTACATTTCGCCACAAATACCATATTAACAAAAAGTTCTTGCACTAAACTATAATATTTATGTAGTTTATAAACAAAATGATATTTGTTTTAGCGGAAAACGTCGATTGTAAGGGGGAGGGGGGCAATGACGAATGAGAGCAATCACGGGGGTTGGAGAGTAAAGCCCCGTGCTTTACAATTTTTTATTCATAATTTTAAGTACATATGTTCACAGAGCATGGTTTCCATAAAATTTATTCTAAAAGTAATAATAATTTATTCAATTTATTTATTGTAAATAAGTCAGATACCGTTTTAAACATGTCATGAAAAGTGTGATACGTTGTGTGATTACTTTATAAAAAAAAAGAACATCGCTTTTAGTTTTAAGGCTTCAATTTGGAATGATAATCAAAATCAAAAAAGTAATAACAATGGCAGAGAATAATATTATGAAAAGATAATTAAATATTAATAATTATTAAATATTAATAATTATTAAATATTAATAATTATTAAATAATAATAATTACATATTAATAATGATTAAATATTAATAATTACATATTATAACTATTAAATATTAATATTTATTAAATATTAGTTAATTAAATATGAGTAGATATTACACGTGAATTCCGTTAAATAAGAGAAAAAAAATATGTAAACGCTCTATAATTATCATAACAACAGTTATGAATTTTATGCTGCTGGCAACCAATGAAATATGTAATTTTCCATGAAGAACCATACCACGTGATTTATCTGGCTAATTAGAATTAACCGACAACAATTAAGAACAGTTTTAGACCGTTTTCTCGCTAAGTTATATAGAGATGTAAATTTAGAAAAAGAATAAGGTTTCAGTGTGCAATTCTTGTTTAATTATAGGGAAATATTTTTTTACTGTACGGACATTGTCCGCTATTTGTAAAGATATACTCTTATAAGTTTTTGGTAAATAAAATCCGAGATCTAGTTATAATAAATAAAATATGTGCAACATTTGCATCATAAAGTCAGAACTTTATTCAATGAAGTCCCGAAGAAAAGTTCGTTATGTAGAAAAGTTGCTAAATAGAAATACACTTATAAAATACTTTAAATATAAAAACAGATTTTAAATTCATCAACATATGATCTATCATCAACACATGATGAAATATCTTAATCATAAAAAAAAAAAAATTGTAAAGAAAAAGAATAAACCAATATATTCTCCTAGAATAAACTGCATTTTCAATTTTCGGAAAAAAAATAATTTTATATTAAAATAAATGAGTTTTAATGACATTCAAGCATGCATTTAATATATTATCATACACTTTTTAACATATTTCATTATCTCTGTAAAATATGATAAAATAAATAATAAGTTTGAATTGTTTAGAATTATTTTAAGAAATACGGTAAAAAAATATTCGATCATAAGGAAAGGCTCACAATCGACTTCGATATTTTGTAGTTATTTTACGAAGAATTTTTCATTATGTTTTGGGCTCCCAGGAAATTTTCTCGTTATATAGGAGTTCGCTACATAGAAATCCGACTTATGAAAAAAAAAAGGAAAATCCATTATTTTTTGATTTTCTGAACACTAGAAGTGCTGCCATTCTTAAAAAGAAAACATGTAATTTACACATTTAATTGCAGAAAGTACCCCAAGCTCAAATAGTTTAAAAGATATTTTTACCAAAGAAGTCAAAAAATGAATTGTTTGAGGTTTGGAAACATTAAATCATTTTTCTAATAAATTGTTTTTGCTAAAAAATATGTTAGAGACAAGCTCTTTTCCCAAAAAAATAAATAAATAAAAAATATCAAGAACTATTTATTTCTGGAAATAGATGTTAAAAACTGGTTGTCAAAATTACAGTTGATATATTTCAATCGGCCTATTCTCTAAAAATAGATTCCTAGTAGATAATTTTAAACTAATTAATGCATAACATTCTTTTTTAGGGACAGTAAAGTAATAGATATGGAACGGACGGTATCTACGAAGTCTTTAGGAAATATATTTTCACAACAATTTGGCATAAATTATTTTAAGGCATCTAATTTTTAAAAATTTTATGATAGACAGCGTATTTGGTTAATGGTGTAATTTCTTTCAAGTCAGATTATAGCAGTTTCCCTAAGTTATTTTGCGATTTCAAGAAGAAAAAAAAGAGATTTGTTTGTTAAATCAATTAAACAACAACAAATAATTTTAACAAAACTTTTAATTCACCAAGAATTTTAATAAATATGATTCTAAGATTGTTGGAATCTCACCAAAATTTTAGATTTTATTGCGTCATTAAGTCTTATGGTCGTTTTAATTTTTCCAATTAAAGCATTTACAGGCACAATTTTTCAATAAATAAATAATAATTTACAGTTTATTTCATGATCATAACTTTCCTGTTTATTTTATGGTCACTATTTTTCAGTATATTACCTGATCATAATTTTCCAGTATGTTTTACGATCATAGTTTTCAAGTATTCATAACGAGTCTTACAAATAAGTACACTACTGTTCATCAATTTCAATACCCCTGTTTTTTATTTCTTTATAATTTTTTTTATCAAAAGCACGCAAAATACTTTAATTTAACCTCACCAAAGTTGTTGCTTTTAAAATTCCTTCAATTAATTTTTGTATTGCTAGTAAAAAAAGGAAATCAAAATACTTAAGCCCATAGTCCAACCACAAAAATTTT